CGCCCGGGGTGGCGGCCTGGGCGGCCAGCACTCACTTCCAGTCCCCCGCAGGCACACCCGGGCCGCCGCTGGGCGCGCACCCCGGCGTGCAGCCCGCCTCCAAGTGGCTGCCGGCCATGGAGGAGATCCCCGAGAACTACGAGGAGGACGACTTCGACAGCGTGCTCAGCCACCTGGGCGACGGCAAGCCCGAGCTCATGGACGCCAGCGAGCTGGTGGCCGAGATCAACAAGCTGCTGCGGGACGTGCGCCAGAGTTAGGCCGCGGCTCGTGCGCGCTGTAGGGCGCGGGGACCCTGGCTCTCCCCCTCTCAGCCAGGCCACGGCCTGTGCATGCCTTTGGGGCGCGGGGACCCTCCCCCCAGCTAGGCCGCAGCCTATGTGCTCTGAACGGGTGCGGGGACCCTGGCTCTCCCCCTCCCAGCTAGGCCATGGCCTGTGCGCGCTGTCGGGGCGCGGGGACCCCCTGCCCCCCAGCTAGGCCACGGTCCATGCGTGCCAGCAGGGCGCGGGGACCCCCCTCAGCTAGGCCGCGGTCCTTGCGTGCTGTCCAGGGTCTCCCCCTCCCAGCTAGGCCGCGGCCTGTGCGCACCTTCGGGGTGCAGGAGGGAGCAGGGGAGCCGCCCTCCGCCCCCGAAACGGGCATGGCCCCACCGTTGCATTTATCATAAATGTGTCTGTGTATATTGAATAATTAAATACTGTATTTTCGTATGTACACAATGCAAGTGTGATTATTTCAATCTGTATTTTAAAAATACATTTGTACCTTATATTTATGTGTAATTTAACAAACAAATTTTATTTTTTTACTCTCCCATGACAAACACGTCTTTTCCTAGTCGCTAGACTAGTCACGGCTTGAACCCCAGCGCACGCCCTCGTCAACCACGGAGTATAAAGGCATTGCTTGGATTAGTTTAGTTGTCGCAGGATTTGTTAGGCATTACGAATTAACCCCACGAATGCATTCCACTATTCTTAGTCCCATTCAGAGAACCGATTTTGTTTAAAATGCTAAAAAACTAAATAGCCTCATTAAAAAAAAAGTCAAAGAATTTTATATTGTTATGTTCACTGTCTCTGCGGTTCCTACAGTTCAAAGCTGCAGAAAACATTGAAGGACGAGGGGAAATGTCATTTTAGGAAGGGAAGTCTGTTGAGGAATGTCGTGTGACATCTTCTCGGTGATGTCAGAGGGGCAAAGGTCAGTGTTTCCAAGGTCTCCCGGGCACCTGCTATGGGTGCTTGATCCTCAGAATACTACCCTGTGGTGTCTCATCTATGTAATTCAAGCAAACAATGGAATGTACTCCACCTTTGTAATTGAGATGTGATCCAGGCATATGAATCTGCTCTTTGGATGGCAATGTGTATTCTAACTGTGTGGAATATTCGTGGACAGGCAGCTCGGTTTGTGTCTCTCAGTTGCAGTAACTGTGATTTATTTTCAAACCATTTTACTTGCATCTCCCCTTTTCTCTCTCAGTACTTGAACTTTTGTTTTGTTCATCTATTGCCATTTTGTTTGCTCTGTTTTGCTATCTAGTCACTGTTAGCTTTTGCCTCCTGTGCATGATCTCATAGTTTATGCTTGTATTTTTAGTATATGAACACATTTATCTAGTCACATTTTTTGTTATGGCAATTATGTTTTCTCTGTTGTGTGACCAATGAGAAACTCTTTATTTATTGTGCTGTTATCTTTCTGTGTGGAATGCCTTGGTATGAGAAATCCTCACTATGACTATTATCATTTATGACCAAGCTTCTATTAATGTTATTTCTATTAATACACTATCTTGATTGTACTCTCTGCAAAGTTTTCCTGTCAGTGAAAATAAAAGGAAAATTAAAGCTAAGGAACTGTCTGCAACTCAAAACTCAGGTTTTATATATATAGTATTCAAAAACTTTGCATGCACCAACAGCTCCCAGAGAAGCTGAGTTCATGTTGGATTTCAGTTGATAGCGAGGAAACATCCAATGGATTTTTTTTTCAGTCATGGGGCTTAAACTCAGGGCCTGGGAGCTGTCCCTAAGCTCTTCAGCTCAAGGCTAGCACTCTACCACTTGAACCACAGCACCACTTGTGGTTTTCTGGTGGTTAATTGGAGATAAGAGTCTCATGTACATTCTTGCCCAGGCTGGCTTTGAACCACGATCCTCAGATCTCAGCTCACTGGTGCCCTGCTCAACAGATGGACTTTTATAAACAAGAAAAACACTCTGGCAATTGGAATGAATTTGGGAACTATGATGAGGATGAGAGTACTTGATTACAATCCACCTGGATCAAACAATCTAAATAAATTTGGGATATAATAGAAGAAGAAAATCAAATGTCAACTGCTCCAATATTTTTCAAATCCAGAAAATATTCCTAGAACATGTGGTGTTAAGTTGTGCATAGAAATAAAGTATTTTTCTTTTTTTACAATTTTTCTAAGCAAAAAAAAATCATTCTTCTAATTGAGAAACTTGGAAAATTAAGCTGCCTCAAAGTAGCTAAAACTAAGAAATTTAAATTTGTAAATGAGTCCCACATTAGATGGAACATATTATCTCTTCCAAAAGACACATTTGCCTTCATGGGAGGGACTGCAATTACAAGTGGAATCTTAGTTTATTTTTCAGTAGATTACACACACAAATGCTAAGCACATTTAAATACATTTTGCCTTTCAACTTCATTTCAGTGCTTAGTATCATTAAGGGAAAGACTTCCATAACCCCACAGTTTAAAACTTAAAGCATCAGCAATACTTGAGGAAGCAAAGCTGGAAGTAGTCATCCTGAATAATGAGAAATAAATATAACCCAATATCAAATTTGACACAGGTTTTGTATTGCATCCCTGTCTCGTGTATCCTGTGTCTCCAGCCTTCTTCATTTATTGCTTCCCTCAGCCCCAATTGAGAGAAACAACAATCAAAGGTCTCTGCTGCTGCTTCGGTTCCTTTTAGCAGTTGTATCTTAGCGAAAGATAGGGTGTCTCTGGCTCTCACAGCAGACAAATTTTCCCCTCTTTTGTACCTCTTCTTTCTCACTCATAGCTGGTCCTCTACCATTTGAGCCACACCTCCAGTACTGGCTTTGTGCTGGTTAATTTGTGCTGGACCTAACAATCTCCTGGAATTGTCTACCTGGGCTGGCTCTGGACCTGAGCTTCATTTCTCCATCTCCTGGGTTGCTAGGGGTAACTAAGGTGTGCCATTGAGTTTGGTCTAGAATTGCGACAGGACTTGGCTTGGGGGGAGTGAGGCAAGCCCAGCTGCTGGAAGAGTGGCTCACATGTCACATGCTTTTGGAGAGGAGGGCAGAAGGTCAACAGCCCTTACCTAGAGAAAGTGAAACTGAATTCCATCATGGAGAATCTCCTTTCACATCATGGAGACCCTCATTTCTATACCATCCCTGTAGGATTAAACACAAAGTCTAAACATATGCTAAAGATGAGAAAAGACTTTCAACACCTCATTTCTATCCAGATAGTTTTTCAAATTCATTCTACCATTTCTTTATCTGTCCTCTGTCTGTTAGATGTGGGAAGCTCTTGAATTCAGAGCTCTGCGCTCTCCCTAGTCTTTTTCACTCATGGTTGTCTCTCTACCACTTGAGTCACACCTCTGGTCCACATACATTTTAGTTTAGTCTTTGCTAGTTAATTAGACACAGAGTCCCATAGATTTTCCTGCCGGTGCTGGCTTTGAATGGTGGTCCTCCGATCTCAGCCTCCTGAGCAGCTAACATTAGAGGGGTGGACATGGGAAACACATGGAAGAACTAGGAGCCGTTCCATTATTCTTTAATATTTCAGGCTCCTCTGGACTTCTTTATGTGCTACTCCATAATAGTCATCTAAAAAGGGAATTATCTTTTGAAAGTGTAACTGAACACTGAATCTCTGGCTTCACAAATCTTTCTTTTAATGCTCGCCTAAAGAATGATTAGAATTTGCCTTCTTCAAATTTGTACAATTGTTATTCTTTTTCCTGCTTTCTTACCATTTAGCAGGCTTAATTTTTTGTTATTTCCATTCTTCCTGTCATCTGCATATCACAACTGCCATTTATTTACATATTACCGTGAAGTAAGAGAGAAGTGTAGACTTGTCTTATTGGAGCCACTAGCTAGATCATCTTTTCTAGAACAAAAATTTGTTTCAATGTGTTATTCTCTTAACGTTAGCATCAGAAAATTCTCAAAGCTTAATTTAAGCTGTCAACATCTTCAAACACAAACAATTATGACTATCAAAAAAATCATATGATTTCATACGAGTTACACGGATGGGATGGCAGCGTTTGATCTTTTTATTTCACGTAAACCATACAACTGACTCAAGTGCACTCACGGTCAGTGCGTGCGACACTCACATGCCTGTCATGAATCTTTATGCATTTCTCCTGTTGAGATAAATGAAATCAAGACTACTGAAAGTGCTAGATCCCTGCATTCTAATAATGGGTCATTTTGAAGATTTCAAGTTTAAAAATAGCTTAGAAGTCCACACATGAAAGAACTAGTGTATGAGATTTCACAAAACAAAACTTACTTTCTGGTCATTGGCTGCATTAGGATGTGAAAGAATGAGATACCAAATAAATAATCGGAATAAATAAATAATCAGACTACTCTGTGACTAACAGAATTTCTATGGGTTTATAATAATAAAGTTTAAATTGGACAAAGTACGTTATTTGATTCTCTGAATTATCATTGGGTAAGTCAAATTCCTAGAGTGAGCACAGTATTTCTTTTTTCTGAAAGAAATGAACACTGTCTAGAGTACTGCTCTGTTGGAAAGTACTTTATTGCTCCAATTTTGCTTCATTTATTGTCATATCCACATTCATGTATTCTTTATACCAAAAATAATAGAAGCTATATATATGTACATGTATACTGAACCATAAAGTATTATATAGTGTATGTGAAAATAGTAGTATATATTCCTCATTCATTTATTATATTTTTATTATATGTTAGCTCATTCAACTTGAGAAGCTGTTAAAACATTTTATGGGGAGCTGGCATTGCAAAAAATTGCTACCAAAATTTATATGCTTTGTGACTTTTCAAATTGCAATAACACATTCTATGCTGGCACTTTAAAATAATAGTTTTCTATTTCCTTTTATGACTTTTGCAAGATGCTCTTCATTCTTGTTTGCTTCCTCAGATTTTACCGTTTCAATTTATTTATTTAATAATGCTCCCCTTTGATAACTGACCTACTGTCTTCATTTATAGCTCTC